GGAGTCACAGCAGCAGGGTCATGAAACGTAACACCAGCAACAGCAGAGGCAGGGGCAGAAACAGCAGCACTAGAAGTACCACCAGCGCCAGGAGTAGCAGCAGAAGCAGAAACATCAGCAGCAAGAGTAGTAGCATCAGCAGAATTAATCAACAGCAGTAGTAGCAGCAGCAGAACCATCGGCAGCAGAAGCAGTAGCAGCAGGAAAACCATCGGCAGCAGAAGCAATAGCTTCAATAACAGTAGCAGCAGCAGAAGAGAGTGCTTCCATAACAGCAGTATCTGCATCTCTGCTGCTTCCACTGAATTTCACTCGTGCCTGCAACACACCGATTCACTTACTGCCACTGCTTCTCCCGTACCTGCCTCCGCTCCTCCCCTACCTGCCACTGCTCCTCCCGCACCTACCACCCGCTCTTTCCATACCAGCCACTGCTCCTCCCAAACCTGCTCCTCCCAAACCTGCTCCTCCCAAGCCTACCTCTGCAGTCTCAGCTCCTGCGTCCACCAATTCCACCTTATGCATAACATCCGGCAACAGCAGTAGCCGCCTCTGCTAATCTGCTAATACACTCTCTACTGCTGTTGTCCCTCCAGTATTTCATTTTCTCTGCTGCCGTCTCTCCAATATCTGCCTTTCTCTGTTGCTTCCCCTCCCATGCTTGCCTCCTCGCTGTCTGATGCTGCCACTGACCTTCCTTTGCCGCTTCTGTACCCAGCTGCAGCTGCAGCTGCTGAAGCTTCTGCCTCTGCCATGCCTGCTTCTATTCTATCGGCTACTACCCATCCCATACCTGCCTCGAAACTGTCTGCTGCTTCTCCTCCCATACCTGCCTCGAAACCGTCTGCTGCTTCCACTGACCTTTCCTTGTACATTTCAGTACACGACTGCAGCTGCTGAAGCTTCTGCCCCTCCCATGCCTGCTTCCCCTGCCATGCTTGCCTCCCACTGTCTGCTGCTGCCACTGACCCCCCTTGTACACTTCTGAACACGGCTGCAGCACCTACAGCTTCTGCCCCTCCCATATCTGCTCCTATTCCATCAGCTGCTGCCTCGCTATCCCATATCCACATACACTTCTGTACGCGGCTGCAGCAGCAGCAGCAGCTGCTGCTGCTGCTGCTGCTGCATTGCTAGCTGCGTCCGCCTCTTCTGGACGTGACCCCACTGGTCCTACCACCGCGCTTGCTGGATTTCTCAGTCCTTTCATTCCCCACCCGTTCCTGGCTGTTACTGCCAGCTGCTCTGGCTTCTGCTGCATCTGCTTCTGCATTACCTACTTCTCGTGCCGCCACTGGTGCTCCTGCTCTATCTGCTGCTTCTGCTGCTCCTGCTCTATGTGCTGCCCCTGCTTCTAGTTGCATTTACAGTTGTGCTATAACCCCTCCACCTGGTCTGTCACCCGCCCTGGTCCCCAGACGCACCTGCCCTTCCCGCATCTGCAACACCTTTCCCACACGCCATGCCCCCCTCATTCACAACACCTGTGCCCTGAGTCTGATCTGATGCATTCAAATCAACACCCAATACGCTCTTTGAGGCGCCTCAGTACTCTCACGCATGTGCCCTGACTCCCATACTACCACTGCGCATTTTGAGGCGCCTCAATTCTCGTTTTGAGTGGACACAAAAGCGCACTCTCACGCGTGTGCCCTGAATCCCATACCATCGCCACGCATTTTGAGGCGCCTCAATTCTCGCACACCCATGCCCTGACTTGGACAGAATCAGCGACAAATTGATCTGAACGGTACATCACACAAGGCAGGCAGACGCTCAGGTGTTTTCTCAGGTGATTCGTGAGGCAAATTCCCAGGGAGATTCTCAGGTGGATTTCCCTCCCCGTCCTTTGCCTCCTCACCATCATCGCCCTCATCATAGTCACGCATGGCATAAGGAACTTTCATGGAACATTCCCAAATTCTTGCCTTTCCCTCTCCCTTTCTCTCTCCCTTTCTCTCTCCCCTTTTCTCGCCCGTTCCCACTCCCTTTCTCTCTCCCCTTTTCTCGCCCATTCCCACTCCCTTTCTCTCTCCTTTTCTCTCTCCCTTTCCCTCTCCCTTTCTCTCTCCTCCTTTTCCCTCTCCGCTTCCCTCTCCCTTTCTCTCTCTCTTTCCCTCTCCCTTTCTTTCTCCCTTTCTCTCTTTCTTTCCCTCCTCCTTTTCCTCTCCCTTTCTCTCTTCATTTCCCTCTCCCTTTCCCTTTCCCTCTCCCTTTTCTCTCTCCTTTTTTCTCTCCTTTTTTCTCTCCTTTTTTCTCTCCCTTTCCCTCGCCTTTCTCTCTCCCTTTTCCTCTCGCTTTCCCTCTCCCTGCCAGTCTCTCTTTCTCCCTCCCTTCCACCCTCCCTTTCCCTCTGCTGCCACTCTCTCGTTACCTACTGTCATCACACCCATATCCTCCTCGCACAACACGGTACCTCTTGCCTCTGCTTCTCTTTCTAGCTTCACACCCAAGCCAGCAACAGCCACGTGTGACCTGGCACCAGCTGCCACGTCACCAGTACCTGCCACGTCAGCCTTGTTGCCACACGACTCCATGCCGCCATGACTCTCCGCTTGACCTGCCACATCATCAAGCACGCCATGGCATGCCACGTCAGCAGCAGGTCCACGTGGTGCACCATTGGTGCGGTGCTGACTCAGCAGCATCAGCGTACTGGAAACATCTGCCTGCCGCCACTCATCATCAGGGAAGGTTCCTGGAAGCAGCGTCTCTCCGCTGCGGTCGAGCTGCAATGCCCCAAGCCTCCTCCTCTTCCGATTCCTCCTTTCTTCTTCTGCTGCTGGTAGTGGCCGTACTGTTGCTGCTGGTGCTGTTGGTGCTGGTAGTGGTGCTTCTGGTTGTGCTGCTGCTTGTGGTAGAGGTGCTGCTGCTACTGGTGCTGCTGCTTCTGGTGTAGCTGCTATATCTGACATGTCTGCAGCTCTTTTAGCTGTTCCCACGACTGAACGATTGATATCACTGGTTGGATGGCTGGAATATGTGGCAACTGTCACGCCCTTTACAATCACCTCTACTTCCATCACACCCTGTTCAGTTACACCCCCAGTCACAGCCACTTCCACGACACCCCCTTCAGTCACACCCACTTCCACCACACCCCTTCAGTCACACCCCCTTCAGCCACACCCCCTTCAGTCACACCTGCATCATCACAACCACCAGGAGCAGCATCCCTTTCAGCCACTGCTGTTGCTGCTTGTGCTGCCGTTTGTGCTGCCGTTTGTGCTGCTGTTGGTGCTGCTGTTATTGCTGATTCTAATGCTGGTTGTGGTGGTGCTGCCGATGGTGCTGCATCATCGTGACCACCAGGAGCGGCACGGCTGCTTGTCACTGCTGCTGTCGTTTGTGCTGCTGCTGTTGCTGCTGGTGCCGCTGGTGGTGGTAGTGCCGGTGCTGGTGCCGATGGTTGTGCTGGTGCTATTGGTGCTGGTGCTGCTGCTGGTGGTGCTGCTGCTGCTGGTGCTGCTGCTGCTGATGCTGGTGCTGGTTGTGGTGCTGGTTGCGCTGCTGCTTTTTGTGGTGATATCGGTGCTGTTGCTGCTGTTGCTGTTGCTGTTGCTGCTGCTGTTGCTGTTGCTGTTGCTGTTGCTGTTGCTGGTTGCGCTGCTGCTTTTAGTAGTGATACCGGTGCTGTTGCTGCTGTTACTGTTGCTTCTGCTGTTGCTGGTGCTGCTGCTGCTGGTGCTGGTGGTGCTGGTTGCGCTGCTGCTTTTTGTGGTGATATCGGTGCTGTTGCTGCTGTTGCTGTTGCTGCTGCTGTTGCTGTTGCTGCTGCTGTTGCTGTTGCTGTTGCTGTTGCTGGTTGCGCTGCTGCTTTTTGTGGTGATACCGGTGCTGTTGCTGCTGTTGCTGTTGCTGCTGCTGTTGCTGCTGCTGCTGCTGTTGCTGTTGCTGTTGTTGGTGCTGGTTGCGCTGCTGCTTTTTGTGGTGATACCGGTGCTGTTGCTGCTGTTGCTGTTGCTGCTGCTGTTGCTGCTGCTGCTGCTGTTGCTGTTGCTGTTGTTGGTGCTGGTTGCGCTGCTGCTTTTTGTGGTGATATCGGTGCTGTTGCAACGGCCTCTGCTACTGCTTCCCCCCATCCACCCTCCGCTGCACCCTCACAAGCTTGCTTCTGAGTTCTATTTTTAAGTCGACTTAAAAATCGACCCTCCGCTGCACCCTCACAAGCTTGCTTCTGAGTTCTATTTTTAAGTCGACTTAAAAATCGACCCTCCGCTGCACCCTCACAAGCTTGCTTCTGAGTTCTATTTTTAAGTCGACTTAAAAATCGACCCTCCGCTGCACCCTCACAAGCTTGCTTCTGAGTTCTATTTTTAAGTCGACTTAAAAATCGACCCTCCGCTGCACCCTCACAAGCTTGCTTCTGAGTTCTATTTTTAAGTCGACTTAAAAATCGACCCTCCGCTGCACCCTCACAAGCTTGCTTCTGAGTTCTATTTTTAAGTCGACTTAAAAATCGACCCTCCGCTGCACCCTCACAAGCTTGCTTCTGAGTTCTATTTTTAAGTCGACTTAAAAATCAACCCTCCGCTGCACCCTCACAAGCTTGCTTCTGAGTTCTATTTTTAAGTCGACTTAAAAATCGACCCTCCGCTGCACCCTCACAAGCTTGCTTCTGAGTTCTATTTTTAAGTCGACTTAAAAATCGACCCTCCGCTGCACCCTCACAAGCTTGCTTCTGAGTTCTATTTTTAAGTCGACTTAAAAATCGACCCTCCGCTGCACCCTCACAAGCTTGCTTCTGAGTTCTATTTTTAAGTCGACTTAAAAATCGACCCTCCGCTGCACCCTCACAAGCTTGCTTCTGAGTTCTATTTTTAAGTCGACTTAAAAATCGACCCTCCGCTGCACCCTCACAAGCTTGCTTCTGAGTTCTATTTTTAAGTCGACTTAAAATTCGACCCTCCGCTGCACCCTCACAAGCTTGCTTCTGAGTTCTATTTTTAAGTCGACTTAAAAATCGACCCTCCGCTGCACCCTCACAAGCTTGCTTCTGAGTTCTATTTTTAAGTCGACTTAAAAATCGACCCTCCGCTGCACCCTCACAAGCTTGCTTCTGAGTTCTATTTTTAAGTCGACTTAAAAATCGACCCTCCGCTGCACCCTCACAAGCTTGCTTCTGAGTTCTATTTTAAGTCGACTTAAAAATCGACCCTCCGCTGCACCCTCACAAGCTTGCTTCTGAGTTCTCAATGCTCCCACAGCTGAGCCTTCACCAGCTAAGCCTCCCTCTTCTGCCAATTCTGCTGTCAACTCCCCCCTTCCTCGTGCTGCTGCTGTCTTAGCTCCACATGCTTGCATTGAAACTTTGAATCCTTCCACAGTTGCTGCTGCTGTTGCTGCTCTTTTTGGTGGTGCTGGGGCGGCTGCTATTGATTCCCCGCTTCCTCGTGCTGCGGCCTTAGCTCCACATGCTTGCATTGGAACTTTGAATCCTCCCACAGTTGCTGCTGCTGCTACTTCTTCTGTGGGTGCAGGTGCTGCTTGTGTTGCTGCGTGGGGTGGCATGGGCAATGTTTCTGCTGCCACACCCTCTGCAGCAGCATCACATGCACCGCCACCTGTCACATCCCCTGCAGCATCACCTGCACCATCACCTGCACCATCACCAGCAGCACCATCACCTGCTGCTGCTGCTGCTCCTGCTGCAGTTGATGGTGGTGCCGCTGCTGGTTGTACTGCTTCTTGTGGTGGCATGGCCGATGGTTCTGCTGCCACATCCCCCGCCACACCCCCTGCTGGTTCTGCTGCCACATCCCCTGTAGCACCACCTGCCACACTGCTAGTCCTTGCCATCATTGGTGGTGGTGGTGCTGCTGCTGGTGGTGCTGATGGTTGTGCTGCTGCTGAGTCTGCTCTACATTCTCCCGCTGCCACGGCTTCTGCCCTCAGTGCGCCCTTTGCAGCCGATTCTGCTGTTGGAATGTTCACCCCAGCACCAGCAGCAGCAGCAGCAGCAGCAGCAGCAGCAGTGGCTGTTTCCCCCCCCATTTCTCCTCTTGACCCTGCATCTTCTCCCTCTCCTCCTGCTCCTTCCTCTCTTGTGTCTCCTTCTCCCTCTTCTCCCTTCCCCCTGTCTCTTTTGCCTCCTGCATCTCCTCCCTCTCCGCCCTCTCCTCCCTCTCCTCCCTCTCCTCCCTCTGCTCCCCCTCCTCCCTCTCCTCCCTCTCCTCCCTCTCCTCCCTCTCCTCCCTCTCCTCCCTCTCCCTCACCTTCCAATGCTTTATACGTCTCTCACCGGTTTTAGCCTCTTCACCCTCCTCACATTCCCCCCACTTCCTCTTCCCTCTTGTTGATCCTCTACCTCCCCCACTTCCTCTATCTCCTCCACTCGCTCTTCCTCTCTCTCCCCTCCCTCCCCCACCCTCTTGTCCACTCGCTCTTCCTCTCTCTCCCCCACCCTCTCCAGTTCTCCCTCCCCCCCATCTATTCCAATCTCTACTCCTCGCTCCATTCCTTCATCTTTTTCTCTGCTCTCATTCCCCATTTCCTTCCCTCTCTGTTCCCCCTCCTCCCCACCCTTCTTCCCTTTCTCCTCCTCCCCCAGCACCTCCTCCTCCTCCTCCTCCTCCTCCTCCTCCTCCTCCTCCTCCTCCTCCTCCTCCTCCTCCTCCTCCTCCTCCTCCTCCTCCTCCTCCTCCCCCTCCCCCTCCCCCTCCTTCCCCTCTGCCTTTCCTGCTGCCGACCCTTTCCTTGCTGCCGGCAAATCCTTTACTGCTGACGCTAGTCTAGCTGCAGCTGCCATTCTTGCATGAGCCAATTTTGTCACCACTGACACGTGCTTTCCTGCAGCATTCTTCTGAGGCGCCTCAAAGCTGCTCTTTCCTGCGGCCGTCTTCCAGCCAAGCTTTCCACGTGCCTTCGCATCTGTTTCACTGCCCCCCTTGCTTGCAGCACCACTGCTTGCAGCACCACTGCCTGCAGCACCACTGCCTGCAGCACCACTGCCTGCAGCACCACTGCCTGCAGCACCACTGCCTGCAGCACCACTGCCTGCAGCACCACTGCCTGCAGCACCACTGCCTGCTGCACCACTGCCTGCAGCACCACTGCCTGCAGCACCACTGCCTGCTGCACCACTGCCTGCTGCACCACTGCCTGCTGCACCACTGCCTGCTGCCTTGTCCCTTCCCCGCAATCGCCCTGCCCATCCAGCACCATCACTCCTTCCCTCCTCTTTCCCGTCCTTTTCATCCCACTTGCCACTTCCTTTCCCTTTCCCCTTCCCCTTCCCCTTGCCCTTCCCTTTCCCCTTCCCCTGCATTTTGTTCCCCCAGCGCCCCTTCCCCCCACTCCCTTTCCACCTACCTCCCTTTCCTCCATCCCCCTTCCCCCCACTCCTCTTCACCCCACTCCCTTTCTTCTTGTACTTTTTCCTCCACCAAATGACCCTCTTCCCCACTGCTGACGTGGCACCGAGCAGCTCCCTCACACTCCGCGCCCTCCCCCACTTCCTCCTCACTCCCTCTCCTGCCACCCACTCCTCCTCCTCCTCAGGTCCGTCCAAAGCACGCCACCACCAAGAGGAATCTTCCTCGCGCTTTCTCTTCCTTGTCTTATCACCTCCGCCCCCGCCGTCCTCCTCCTCCTCCTCTTCCTCCTCCTCCTCCTCTTCTTCTCCGTCTGACGACTTATCGCACCCCTGCTCTGCATCCCCTTCCTTGTTTTCTTCCTTCCTTTCTTCTTCCGTCTCTTCCGCCTGTTTCCCTTTTCCCCCCTGTTTCCCCTCCTCTTTATTCCCCTCCTTTTGCTTTCCCTCCTCCTGCGGCCCCACCCCCTGCTGCAACCTCCCCTTCTTCTCCGTTTCCTCTTCGTCGTCTTCTTTCTCCTCTTCTCCCTGCTTCCCCTTCTCCTGTTCCAATCCTCTCTTATTATCGTCTTCCTTCTCCTCTCCTTCTTGCTCTCGCTCCTGCTTCTCTTTCTCCCGCTCCAATTCCCCGGTCCATGTTCGCAGAGATAAAAAGCTTTTTTTACCCTCTGTTCCTTTCCCTCTCCTTTCCGCTTTCCCCTCCTCCGCCTCCTTCCCTTCCTTCTCCTTTCCTTCCTCCTCCTTTCTCTCCTCCTCTTTTCGTTCCTTCTCATCCTTCCCTTCCACATCCTTCCACTCATCCTGCCCTTCCCCTTTTTCCTCCTCCTCCTCTTGCTCCTCTCCTCTCTCGCCTCCTCCTACACCTCCCCCCTTATCCCTTCCGTCTAAGTTAACACCTCCTTCCTTATTATTTCGATCTAATCCCTCACATCTCCCACTCGCGAATACACCACCACTCATTCCTTCCCTCCCTCTATCCCTCACCTCCGCAGCACCACCCTTCGCCTCTCCCTCCACATCTCCTTGCCGCAACCGCTCCTGCTTCTTCTCATATTCCCCACTCGGTGATCCACCATCACCACCATTTCCTTTCTGACGCACCTCACACAACGAACCACCACTCACTCCTTCCCTCCCGCTATCCCTCACCTCCGCAGCACCAACCTTCGCCCCTCTAGTACCCACACCTCCCTGCCGCAACCGTTCCTGCTGCTTGCAATCAGCCCCCTCCCTCTCCTCTACTCTTACCTTAGCACCGAAAGCATCACTCAGAATCGCCCCCACACTTTGGTTAAAAATTTCACCTGACCGATATCTCTGACCATTACCCAAACCCCTGTCTGAACCATTATCCGAACCACCACCCGGACCACCACCCGGACCACCACCCGGACCACCACCTGGACCACCACCAAGACAAGTGCCTTGCTGGGCACTTAGCTGAGTGTAAGCGCTAGAAATATTTTCTCCCTGCGCTGAATTTAGCGTCACACCGACACCTTCATCTTGAAATACACTTACTAGCCGATCAGTGCCAAATTGAGCTGCTCCGACACTTAGCTGAGCAACGGCACCTTTCTCCAGACTGGTTCTTAATTCCACAGTGCCACCGTGGGCCGGAATGGCACTTAGCTGGGCAACGACATTGTCAGCAACACTTTGCCCCCGATTGGCGCTTAGCTGAGCAGTAACATTCTGAGCTAGATTGGTGCTTAGCCGAGCAGTGACACTCTGACCCACACTGGCGCTTAGCTGAGTAACAACTTCCTCCACGCTCCTACGCCTTCTCATTTTCCTTGAGTTCCCAAACCCAGCAGTTTCTGATATTCCCCTTCTCTCAGCATCATCAACCGCACCCCCCCCATTCAAGCTCATGTCAGGCTTAGTATCATCGAAGCTCATGCCAGGCCTAGGATCACCGAAGCTCGCGCCGAGCCTAGGATCACCGAAGCTCTTGTCACTCAGCCATGGCCTGCGCAACTGGTTTTCAGGCCGCCGGATTTGCTCCTCAGTGGCAACTTCCCTTGCACAGTACTGGTGGTGGTACTGGGGCTTCCCCTTTCGCCGCCTCTTTGCACCTCTCCTAACCGCACTCCCTCTTTCCTCCCCAATCTTCTCCCAATCTTGCTCCACATTCTCCCCTTCCCGTTTCTTCCCCTTCTTCCCCTTCTGCCCCGTCTTTCCCTTTTGCCCCCTCACCACTTTCTTCCCTTTCCCCGCTTTTTTCCCCTTCTCCCCCTTCCCCCCCTTCTTCCCCTTCTCCACCTCCTCCTCCTCCTCCTCCTCCTCCATCCCCTTACCCCCCTTCACCTCCTCTTTTCCCTTCCCCACGCTGCCGTCTATCCCCTCCCTTTTGCATACCTCGTTAAGAGGATACCACCAGTCCGCAATGATGGCCTCATCATTGCTTTTTTTCGCGCAATGGATGGGTGGAGTGGGGAAATCGGCGGAAGCGGGGGCAGGGGGAGGAGGATCGGCGGACTCCGGCGCCAGGTGCGCGGAGGCGGCGGCGGAGGGGGTGTTAGGGAGAAAAACGTGCGCGCCCGGCGTTTGCAACCGCTGGAGTAAGGCTTTCGCGAATGCCATTTGCGACGAGGCCTGCGACTGGCCACGTGTCTCCTGCGACTGGTCATGCGACCGTGAGAGAGAAAATGATGACTCCAGCTGCGGCAAACAGGTTGCTTGCAGCGGATCAGTTCTTAGCGATCCACTGTCGCCCTGAGGCGCAAGCATCATGGTGATCCCTGATTCTGATATCATTTCAACCGAATTATGAGATGTCTCAAAGAAATGAATCATGCCTGTGACACCAGGAGCTGGTTACATCGTAACATCCTGGCACCACTAGCACTTTGAAGTGGTACGGCAACCCCAGAGTTGTGGTCACGTCTGTCTTGGTTCTGTACCAAAATCATCTTTTTGGGTTCTCGACTCGAGGCTACACCGCCTACTCAAGCCCCACACAAACAGTCAAGGCAAGCAGCTGTCTGATATTGGTTGACGCGCGAATGGCAGGAGATCCGCAAAATCAAGGAATGTGGATGCGATAATATGTGCCTCGTTAATTTTGAAAACACCGCACCAACTGAATGAATGCGCTACTTTCTTTAAAAGGGCATTTGACTCAGTGTCCCCGGACTTCAACTTCGAGGTCCTCAGAAAGATGGGTTTCTCGGAGCGCTTTGTCGGCTGGGTGAAAGGGCTGCATGAAAACACACGCACGAGCTTGGTAGTTAACGGATGGCTGGGCGAAGCTGTGGATGTTGTATCTGGTGTTAGGCAGGGCTGTCCCATTGCTCCTTACCTGTTCCTCTGTGCAGTGGAGCAACTGGCGCCGAAGGTGGAGAAGCGAAAGATTGGAATCACCCTCACCAGCTGTGTTGGTCAGCGGCTTGCTTACATCGGATACGCCGATGACACCACCCTCTTGCTGCAGAGGAAACAACAGTTTGATGAGGCAGAGGAAATTCTGGAGGAATTCGAAAGCATCTCGGGGCTGGCGACGAACAAAGCAAAGTCGGTGGTGCTCCCGCTGGCCATCAATCTTGGTAAAAAAACTTGGCGCTCGGATGGCTTCAGATGGGTTGGCGCTGATGAGGCAGAGAAGCTTCTTGGTATGTGGGCCACGTCGAGTGGGAGCTGTCAGCCGATGTGGGATAAGGCTCCGGAGCGGATTGTGGGGAAGATGACGATGTGGCAGCCACAATATCTTCCGATCAAAGCGAGGAGAGCAGTGATGGACAGGTACATCCTTCCAATTGCCTGGTCTCAAGCTCAGGTGTACCTGCCGCCTGCACAGACCTAGGGGGTAATCACGAAGCTGTCACACACTTTCATGTCAGCCAACAAAGTTACGTCGGAGAAGTGTTTTCTTTCTATGGAGCAAAGAGCTGCTCTACACACCGGTGATGGAGTGAGGTGTGTGTGCAAAGGATCCAGAGGCAATGCTCACATGCTTCACGGCCAGAAGGATTGGGACGATACGTACGGAAACCAGTCAACTAAAACGGAGCCTGATGCGCCAAGCAGCTGACTTGCCGCTGGGACAAGACACGTTTTTGTCACACGAGAAGATCCTGAAAACATGATAGGGGAAGAGTGAACGACGGAAGCTGGCTTGTGAAAATTTCATGCGCTCCCCGATGGCGGTGACTGGGTTGATCGAAGCAAGGAGGAGGTGGCGATGGAAAGGATTGTGTTTAACAAGCACATCCTCATGAAAGGGACCACGCCGATCAGGGGACAGAAGGCGGCTAAGCAGCTGCGAGATGTCAGGTTAGGGGACCTGATCAAGAAAGTCGAGGCGGGAAGAGGCTCGCTGAAAGACCTCACTACCTTGGAGAGAGAATTGCGGGGGAAAGAAGCGGCAAAGCTAGCACTCAAAGCGTTTGCAGCAGCACCTGAATCTTGGAGGGTGATGCTCCTCTCAACCGAGCTACCTCATGTGGGGTTTGCGGAGGTGTATGAGGCTGGAAGAGCGGGGTCGAAACAACTCCGCGCAAAGCTTCTAGTGAACGGAGAAGCATCGCCACTGAAATCTCTCACGTCTCACTGGGGGCACGGTGGCAGCGGAAAAGCCAGGCGGAGCAAATGGGAGAGCAGATAGGGCGGGCGCATTGATTGGAAGCGGGCAGTTAAAACACGGGAGTCGTTGGTCACCCCAAGCCGACCGAGAGATGTTTTGCTGAGAATTCACGGTTTAAATTTACAGGTCGGGGAGAGGCTTACCTTTCTCAGCAGCAGGCCGGTGTGCCCCTACTGTGACAGCTTTGAAACACTGGAGCATTGTTTCTCTGAGTGCCCGCGAATTCAAGTGGTGGTCTAAGCGGTGAAAAAAGTGTCAGAATGTGATGTTTGTCTAGCCTGCAGTGGGGTACTCTATAGCAAGTACAGCCCAGATTAGGGTTTGCTATATGTACTCAACTGCCTGCTAGTGAAAAGCGCTCTTTTCTTGTTTCTGATTCTTGCCTAGTGTTTCTGATATGGTATCAGAGCAGGTCGACCCTCCTGGGTCGATCCTGTGGGTGGTCCCACCCGATGCTTCCGCTGCTGTTCTGCCTATCGCACGCTCTGCGTACGAAATGTTTGCTACGTGCCGCGCGCCCGTTTTTTCTTCCTGCCGCGTCGCCCCCCGTCGCTCGTCGAGGCGCCCTCGGAGACCCGCGCCCTCCGTCGCCCGTGTGGGACCCGCGTGTCGCCCCCCGTCGCCCGACGCGGCCCGCGCGACCTGCGCCAGGCCCGCGCGCGGCCCGTACGGCCTGCGCCAGGCCCGCGCGCGGTTCGTCCGGCCTGCGCCAGGCCCGTGCGCGGCCCGTCCAGTCCGCCCCAGTGCCGCACGCCGTCCCCCGAGCTTCTGACCGCGCCCCACCCCCGCTGCTGCCCGCGCTCCTGTGTTAGGGTTTGGGGGTGGAGAGTATGGGGGTGCCGGGTGTGTGAGCCGTCCCCTGCTCCTCCTCCTCCGTCTCCCACTACTGCAGCTGCCGCTGAGGGGGGTGGATGTGTTGGAGCCGTCGGAGTGGTACGAGGGGGGTGGCGTATGAACGGTGCTAGAGGTTCAACAGGGAGTGTGTGAAAGGGGTGTGGGACAGCTGGGGGAAGTTGAGTGGAGGCAGCCGTCTTGTCGTCCGCAGCGCCTGTAGTCCAGAGAGCCATATGCGTCTGTGGCCGTGTAGTCCGGGGCTTTGCGCCTGGTAGCCACAGTGTGAGCACTCCTGGTAGTCCAGAGAGCCAGCTGCGCCTGTCGCCGTGTAGTTCGGGTTCAGCCTGGTAGCGACAGTGCTGCGCACTCCTGGGAGCACAGTGAGCCAGCTGCGCCTGTCGCCGTGTAGTCCGGGTTTAGCCTGGTAGTGACAGTGCTGCGCACTCCTGTTGCCCGTGTGTCTGCAGCTTCAGCCGTCGTCTCGCATCTTCTCGCCCCCACAGTTTCTCCTCCTCCTCACTTGCTCTCTGTGATAGCCTCTAGCTTTGCTTATAATTGTGAACTATTGCTCTGCCTGCTTGTTGTGCTGATTATACCCCACTTTGACTATGGGGGTGTGTCAGAATGTGATGTTTGTCTAGCCTGCAGTGGGGTACTCTATAGCGAGTACAGCCCAGATTAGGGTTTGCTATATGTACTCAACTGCCTGCTAGTGAAAAGCGCTCTTTTCTGTTTCTCGTTTCTAGTTGTTGTTTTAACAGTGAGAAGCAGGAGGCCCTGCCTCAGAGAATCCGACCCTTACACGTGGGTCCGGGGCCTGTGTGGCTTGCCCCAAAGTGCTGCGAAACTGTTCGTCCACCGCCAGCTCTTGCCCTCCACTACTCGAATGCGATTTAGGAGACGCTGTTCCTGTTCTGCCATCACGTGCCACCCGCCACCCAGGAGGGTCGACCTACTCTGATACCATGTTAAAACAACAGGCAGAAACAAGAAACAGGAAGGAGGGGTTTTCACTAGCAGGCAGTTGAGTACATATAGCAAACCCTAATTCACACTGTACTCGCTATAGAGTACCCCACTGCAGGCTAGACAAACATCACATTCTGACACTCACGCACAATTACGACTTTTTATGCGTTGTACACTTCTTTACTGGTGTATAGCTCATATAAGCAACAAAAAAAAAAAAAGAAGAAAAAAAAACCCAACAAAAATTCATACTCTTCGTTAAAGCCCGAGTTCCAAAATGCAAGGCGTGTGGGTCATGCTTTTAAAACTTGACGAAGTGCAGTATGCAAGCTTTGAAAAGTAGCGCACCTGCAATTTGGGACTTTCGAGTGCTGACACAACCCCCAGAGCGAAATACGTGGGCTGGCTGGGTTTGGCGAAAAAAACGTACCGTAATCACCCGGATATAAGACCCCCCCCAGTTGTAGACCCCCGGGTCTATAATACGGACGTGGGTCTTATATTTGGGTATGTTTTTGTTATACCCCCCTTTTTGGCTGAAAACATTATAAGACCCCCCACCTTTACAGCGAACGTGTGATTTTATAATATTATAGAGTCGTTTTGTGAAGGAGAACATAATGTTTCCCCTTCGGATGAAGTCACGTGGGCATCGCACCGTCAATGTTGTGCAGTCTTTTGTTTTTTCCGCCATTACGAGGCTCATGAATCAAAGTTTGACCAGTTGCGAGGGTGATGCCACCTGGCAAATGTCTGACTGTGCGATTCTCATGGTCTTGCTTTGAGATTCGTTTGACTTGATTGGCTATGTGGTTGTCCAATCAGAGAGCAATATCTGGATTTCACATTCACAAACAGTCGTCACAAAAACATCCTCGACGTACCGCTTTTCCGTAATCTAAAAACGAATCAAACACCAACATGAGCTTTGCATTCAAATACAAGTGAAAAAAACATGTTCATTTGTAAAGACCCGGGTCTTATATTACTATGACAATATGAGAAGACCCCCCACCATTTTTTCCCGTAGTTTTCATAAGACCCTAGGGTCTTATATCCGGGTGATTACGGTAATGCCCGAAACTGGAATCACTCGCCAAAACTCAAACCAGCCCCTCACGTCGTCGTTTTAAAACTTGTGCAATTTGGGCTTACGGTTTTAAGATACTTTAATTATGACACTGTCAGTCACATACCGTATGTGATCTAGTAAATACAGCTTGATAATGCCAAATTGAGCCATCTGCAGCATTTCCAAGCTCAATACAACTATCTTGGACCAACTAAAAAGGAAATGTAC